TCGTTTCCCACTGTGCCCAGTAACAGATTGATCATAACAACAATGGGAACATTGAAGAAGCCTCCCATGGAATAAACAGCACAGAAAAGAATTTTTCTGGATGACATTTCTGAAGATAAATGTATCCACATCCTTTACAAAGACTGTTGTTTTCACATAACCCAGCTGAAATTTCAGGAATTAGAGATGGTGAATAAGACCTTAAAGATATAAAATGCACACTGCTACTTGAAAGATGAATGAGCACATAAATCTCCGTAATCATAGAATGGTTGGAAGGGACCAATGGAAGGTACCTTTAAATATCACCTAATTCCAACCCCCTTACACAGGTGTTCTACCCATTCAGTTTGTTGTTGTTGTTGTTATTGTTGTTGTTATTATTATTATTATTATTATTATTATTTGCTAAGTCACTTAGCATATCTGAAAGCCCACATTTGTACAGATTTATATCACCATTTCAAGGATCTAGATGACAAAGTCAGGACTCCAGAAATACCTGCAATTCTAACAGCAAAAAACAACTTTTTAAAGAGAAAAAGTCTACCCCCCAACCAATCCGGCAATTGACAGAATACTGTGGAGAAAAAAGAAGAGCAACCAAATTGTTATGAAGGCAAGAATTCAGCAAATAGAGAGAAGTAGATTTGAACTAACCTTGTTCACAAAAGAGGAAAAAGGTAAGAGAAGTGGTAGGAAGGACCTTGAGTTGAGTTAGTTTTATACTGCATCTCAGATGGCCTGAGGACCACAGACATCCTTTGTGCATGAAATTATTTACCAACAAGTATGTCCTGAATGCAAAATGCTTCTAACTGATTAAATGTCTTTTCCTTACTGTTTATTACTTTGTATTCATTTCCTTATCTTCTGACATACATATTCCGTCTCTCAACTGGAAAATTCCAGTTTCTCTCATCTTCTGGTATTATGGACCAAATTTATTCCAGTGCCACCTTTCAGTAACAACAAAATTTATGCTCCAGTGTATGTTTCACTTTAGTCATAAGGAAAAATATTAAAAAGAATTTATACAATACATAATTCATCATCCAAAGGCGTTCTTTTATTAAGAATATGAGTGTAAATCCTTAATAAATTCTGGTCTCCACCAAAGTTTACAAAGCTCTGACTCCAGCCAAGAATAAGAACAATCCAGATTGAACTTCTGTGTTTTGTGAAGGCCCTGCAAGAAAGCACAGGCATGTGCACACCTGAAAACCCACTGAATCCACTGAGAAAGAATCAGAGCCCTGTGTGACATTCAGAGAAAAATACTATTATATCATATCAAATTCAGATAGTATCACCCTATTACACTTCAATAATGCAGTCTGAGGCAAAGCTGCTAGCACACAGGGACATTTAAACTTGATTCATCCATTCTTTTACAAAGGTATCCTATAACTCCCTCTATACCATCTCAGACCACAGATATGAACAAGTCGTCTTGAGGACACAAACGAATTTTAAGGTATTTTGAGGTATTATCCTTGCACAAGCTCAACTGCAGAGTCATTGTGGGGAAAAAAAACACACAAGGGCCTGCTTGTCATCGTATTTTTTCCCCTCACTACAGACTGCAGTACAAAGTGATTGAACTGCAGACTGATGGAAGTTCATTGCATAGTAGAATATATATACAAAATTTTTTTTTCTTTTTTCACTTTACAGTGTCTCCTGTACAAGCTGCAGGGTTTGAACCTCTCCTTGGAGATGAGTTGCTAAATATTGTGCATGAGGATTCATAGACATCTGGGAAATAAAAGTTCTTGGTCTCAGATTCCTAAAGAAGAAGGGCTTCAAAGTCCTTCACAATTTTCATTAACAATGTTCATATTCACAGAAGTTATCAAACTGTTCTTGATATATGATGAGGTTTTAACAGCCTCATCATCTGCCCAAATGGGATGTCTTTAAAACCTCTGAACCAAGATCATTTTTTGCCATCTATAAGCCAATACATAGGTTTATAACTTCACAAAGTTAAGTCATTTGTATTTAAACAGACTATGAAAACCAACCATGAAAATTGTTTTAAAGAAAAAATCAACCTTTTAAAAAAACTTAAACTGGTTTTCATTTTTCAATAACATTATCTAAAGTGACCCACGTGTGCTCTTAAATATTTCTCTTCCTTTCCAGACCTAAACAATGCTACCGACCCATAAAAATGGCAACATGTACATTTTTGAAATACAAATTCTTTTGTAGCATCAGGTGCTTACTGGCAACTTAGAGAATTAATTTTCCTGTAAAACTTGTAACAATACCCACAGAAGTTTTCAACACTTCTGTTCTGCTTCCTTCTATTAATACAAGAGCTTCTATTTGGTATACTATTTCAGATTTTAAAAACAAGTTCATCAGAGATGACGGCAGTATTTTCAAAAAGACTTCTGAACTGTCTCCTGACCATGGCTCCACTCCAGATTAGTCTGATTGGCTCAAAGAACTCATGAAAGATGGTGAACAACTTAGCTGGTAATTGTTCTTAAGTGGGTCAGACGGGGAATTGCACACAAAGAGTTTTAGTAAGTGGCTTGAATGTGATCTTAGATTGTGTTCCCGAGACACCCACAAGCTAATAAATTGCTGAGGAGCTGAAAAAAAAGTCTTTATTAGACTGCGCTTGGAATAATTTCATATTGACACTAATAGAGTCGGTATAAAAGTACCAGAAATTAAAAGTACCCGTAAATTGTGCAGATGAAAGAATTTTTAATGGGTAGAGTAGGCTTCTCATGCAATGCCAGGCTGAATGTAGACTGGAAAACAAAAGTAAAACAATTACATTACCAAGAAAATGTTCCACCTGCAAAAATATATGTGGGAACTAATTCATGTAAAAAAGGATGCCTCAATAGTCTCATAAATTTTTAAATATCTGTATGCATAGCTATTGTACCCATTTCTCCAATCTTAACATACAAAGGCTTTCAAATTTATGTTCACATTCTTCAGGAACCGTCTCTCTAATGATACATTTAATAAAGACTCCAACATCCTGCACAAACACTCCGTGATGCCACGCTGTCCAAAGACAGCTAGTTCCAGGACGCTGCTTTCTTTTATTCTTTTAATTCAACAAGCATAGGTTTAGGGGCTTACAGCAGAGAGTAGTTCTCCAAGCTTTTTCATTCACAAGTACCACAAATGTACCTTTCAGGATATGCTGTTGTTGGACACAGGACACTTAACCAGACATTTCATTCTTTTGATACTCCTTTCTCTACTCTTTATGCTACACGTTCATTTGCATCATAGAAAGGCACTTTCCTGCCACCAAGAACGAAGCCATTCTTTGATGCACAGAGTGCAATCAGTGATTCCCCGCACATCTGAGTGAATAACTAATTACTTCACTCATACCAGTTCTGTCAACAGGACACCATATGCTCGTGTACGCATTCCAGGCCCTTCAATTATTTGTTTAGAAAACACATTCACAGGAACCAATTCTGTGAGACTCCACTCAGTCTAGTGCCTATTGATTTACCATCTTTCATACTTTGCCTTTGCTGCTTCAAGCCACAGCCTAAAAGGGGGCCCATCCCATCTTATCTCTAAACTTTTTTTTTTCCCCGTGCATTGGTAACTTTGCAAGTATTTCTTAAGTAAAGAAAACTTGGAACATAAGCATAAAACATTTGAAAAAAAGTAAACATACCTCTTCTCCGCCCCCAAGTGGAGATTTGGCCTGGTTCCACCACTGAACTTGAATGCCAGGTATCTTCCCTCTGGTTCCTCCACTATTTCTATCTCAGCCCTATGATAATTTGATTTTCAAATAGATTTTAGTGAGCTCTAAAAGAGAAAACCATGCATGAGGTATAGAGTCATCAGAAATTACACAACTCTCATTCTTATTGCTTTCCTGCTCTATGTCCTGCCAGACCACGTGTAGCTCCAGCAGGAGAGCAAAGGAGTCAATACAATTAAAAACTTGGATAATTTTCCTGAAACTTGTGTACCTACAGAAAAGGGTATTCTTTATTATTCTTTGATGTTTCTTAGTTGCACACAATGTGCTGACTTTAAACATCATTTAGAACATTATTAGATGGTGAGGATTAAAAACAAACTGTCCTTAAGTAGGGGCATTTGTCTAGTTCTTCACTCACATAATTTTTCTTTTATATTGTGAGAGTTCTTGTGTGGATTAGCTAAGCAATAAGATTTATTTGGCTTTGTTTAAGTTTTGAAAGAAAGGGCATCAAAACCCATCATAAAAATTTATTAATGATACAACCATGTAAAGTGTCTTACTACTCTGATGAGATTTGTACATTCACTTCACCTTTGAAGCCTTGAGTCAAGATCAAAGCATGTCATGGCTAAAGCTTCAGTGTCTGGTAATGTTCAATTTAACCAAAGAGAGACACCCAAATACTGCTCCTGAAAATCTTATCATGCACTTACCAATTCTCAGAGTTTCAAATATGTCAAATAAGTGATAAAATCAGAAAGCTCCCAACTGGAATTATCATAATTGTACTTTTCACAGAGATGTAAAAAAACTTTGGAAAGAACTAGCAAGAAAAATATATATGTAAACCCGTTGAATGCTTCACAAGAGTGTAAACAAAAAATAAATATTTTTGTTATGTTAATTGTGTTGAGTATTCAATTCGCACTTTCCACTAAGAATGTACTCTGCATAGATTTCCATATAATGAAACATTCCTCCACAAGGGTATGAAAAAAATGGAGAAAAAAAACCACAATGAAACTCAAATCCAGATGCAACATCAATTTAATGATAAAAAGTCAAGTAGTATTCTGCAAATAAAAAGGAATATGCATATTTATATGAGGGAAATAAGCCGTTTAAAACATTCCAACTGAAAGACAGCAAGCAAGACTCAGCTTTCCCTTAATTCCACAATAAAAGCACACCACTGATCATTTAAAAGAATACCATTATACCAAGTCAATGTGAAACTCAAAAATCACAGATGAAAGGCAAGTTATTAAAACCAAGACAATCAAGAATAAGACATATGTTGGCCATGTTTCCAGACAGCAATTGCTTCCCTCCCTCCTTTGCAGGAGGGCACAAGGCTGCTCAACCCATCTGGAAACCCGGGCCAGCAGCTCCGTCCTCAGTCCGGCACCTGGCTCTGGGCTTCCTGGTCGATGCACTCACTGGGCGTCCATCCCGGCTTTAGCAGGGCAGGCACCTTCTGCCACAGTAGCGACCACCAAGGCCAGAGAGGCCATAGCCCCCGGAGGAGATGGGCACTCCCTCCTCACTCAGGATGCTGCCAACAGCAGCAGATGCTGAGGATCCCACAGCGGTGTTCTGGGGGAAGGAGCTGAGGATGGGTCCGGGCAGGGTCACCACCACGGGAGAGGGCTGGATCACCACGCGGGAGTCCTGGCACTGCCTGACACAGGGCTCGTTGCAGCTGTTGGCCAGCGGGGTTGGGCCACAGGGACGGCACAGATCGTAGCAGGACATGGCTGTGGGATGAAGGTGCACCTGGGAGAGAGGGCAGGGAAAGCACAGGCAGCACGTGAGGTGCAGCCTGACAGCCTGCTCGGCAAGAGACAAGGCACAGGCAGGGGAGCAGGGCTAGCCTGTGTTGGGAGCAAGAGAGATTGAAGAGCCCCAGTCACAAAGATAGGACAGCAAAATCAGACAAGACCTTCTCCCACCTCTCATATTGGTGGCAAGGAAAACAGAGATGAGGGAGTAGCATCAAGGAGCAAGGTTCTCAGAAAAAGTGACAATAAGAAAAAGACTTAGTGAGGTAAAAGTGGTTGCAGCTCACCTTGTTCACCAAGGAGGAGAAGGCAAGAGAAGTGGATGAGGGAGCCTGCAGTTGGACTGGCTTTTATACCGGTCCCCACTGCCCCAGGCCCAGAGGCACCCTTTGCGCATGTAAATGTGTTTACCAACAAGCTCATCTTGCATGCAAAGCATCTCCATTAAAGAAATGGGGACACAGCTTACGTTCCCTGCAACGCTGCCTTTTCATTTCCCTGTTCTTGACGTGCCCATTCAGCCACACAGGCTCCTTTCAAGTGACAGTATTAGAGGCCAAAACATTTGAGGGAAAAGTAAAAGATAAATGATCCCAAAGCACAGTACCTGCACAAAGAAAATGCAGAGACACGAGCCAGGCGCAGTC